ACACACACACACACTAACACTAGATTTACCCATAGTGCTAATTCAGCACTACGGTTGATCATACTACATTAGTCTTTTTCAACATTGGCTGAAAGAGCCATTTGTATTTTCTTGCTGTCAGACTACATTACATTGAACAGTGCTTCCTGTGTTTGTAGTCTGTGTATACAACATTGACCCACAGGCACTCAAGTCAATACTAATTTACACAATCTGAAAATGTTTTAACTGTTACGGTAGAATATAAATCTTGAAAAGAGAAACCTCTTCCCTTTCTCACCCAGTTATTCAACCTGGTGAGAATTCTTCATGAACACATGGACAATCTTGAAAGTATGTTACTCAACCCTTCTTTCCTATTCTGTAAATCGCCGACTTGAGTATTTTCCTTGTTATATTTATTACATGGCTACAGAATTTGACTTCATGTCTCTGGATTGCAGTTCCCCATGGTGAAAGCGACGAGGAGATCCGAGACAACAGACCATCTATTGACTTTTCTGACCTGGACGACGATCTGGAAGAGGAGTACTAATTATGTGAAAGTAGTAGAATGAGGGAAAAGAATTTTGGTTGGTCCGAAATATCAATATAATCTAAAGTTGCAGGGCTACTCCATGCCATATGGTAGCTCACCCAGTTTTCGCACATGCTTTGACATCGTCATATTCATCTGAAATGCAACGGCAGTGAGAAATTGCAGGTGGCTTTTGCTGATATGCAAACTTGAAATGAAGTAGTGCGTTAAATATTTTGGTTGACCTCACCGTATATCTGTTTCTATAAGAGTGCACTTTATTCAATTATTATAAAATAAAAATGCAAGTTTTTTTAACTGTTATACCACAAGTGCTTTAATGTTGAAATGGCAGAAATTGAAAAAGCATAGGGGGAAACAGTGACAAGTTAAAATTTTTACTTAAGTTGTGATGTTTAGGATGCTTTGTTGGAGAGAAAATAAAAAGTGGTTATTCCTTTTAATGTCTGTGTTCCTCTGGCTTTTCCCACTGAGAATATGTTTAAAAAGAAATAAGAACTTACTCCATTGACTTAAATTTTCTTCATCATTGTTCAGTGTTTGAAATGCTTTATGTATGTACAAATCTAGTTTCATGCTTTCAATTTTGGGAATAAAGATTGAACGCAAACTGCCTTTTTTTTGTGAAGTCTTATTTACTAGTAGGCTTATATATTAGTTTATTATAAGAGGTGCCTCTTGTTAGAATCAAAATCTAAGCAGCTAAGCACTAGTGATTTGACTGAAACAATGACTTACTGCTGGAAGATGTACTTTCAAACAAGTTGTTTGGAGACAATATCTCAAAAGTATGAGCCCATGGAGCGAGTCATGAAGACAGAAAATTTTATTGGAAGGATACTGTACCTGATATGAGCTGACAGATCTCATTAGGAGCGGTGGTAAAGTTAAAAAAACAACAACATTAACATTTGGTTTACCCTTGATATGAATGGGTTAACAAGCCATACCGAGGCAGTTCCACAAACTGAAAGGAAAGCTCAGGCTTTTTGACATTCAAACGACTCAGAGCATCTTTGGTTCATTCTTAGTTAAAAAAAACAAACATCACATATTTACAAAGCATTCAAAGCGAACACCAGTGCAATTTGAACGTCTTTAAAAACTCTTCAACCCTCATTGTGCTTAAACATAGGAACTGTAGCTCCACAACGTATTAAAGTGCGTTCTTGCTCAGTAGTTAAGTGCATAGGAAAGTCTGATCTACATAAACAGACAAATGATACAGACGTGTCTGATTATTTTTGTGGCTAAGACAGTGTCCTACACTTTTAAAACTAATCAGCAGGACTAAAATTTAAAGATTTTTCTCTTTGATTTACATATTGACAACTAAAACACATTAACCTGACTTATTAATAGCTATTAATAAGTCGAAAGAATCAGTAAATACATTGGAAATTACCTAATCCAGTGGCTTAAAAAAAAACTCCCATCTCTTTCAAACTCATGATGTTAAAAGGCACAGTCAGACATTAATTTCTACTTGTTTAAAGGCTCAGTCCAAAGACCAGAGTGTGATCTCTCAATCCAGATAACTTTAATGTGATTTGCTGGGGTACGGAGATTTTAGCTGCAAGCTCAGGCCAATTAAGTGGAGCTCAAAACCAAATCCAACCCACAGCCAATTTAAAGAACTCAACAGCAAAGTTTCTCGTAAAATATGATTGAAACGTTTACAGTCTTTAGTGTCTTCCTTTTGCTTGTGGACAGTTATGGGGCATACTTCAGTAGAAACTACTTCTCAAATGATTCACAGTGAGATCTTGGCAGTATTGTAAGTATTTGAAGGAGAAACTATGCAGATATATAGCACTCCAAGTCAAAGAAAAACTAGTTTGACTGGATTTTTAGATGAACTGGCCCTTTAAATGTACTGATTGATGACAATGTGTATTTTGAAGTTGAAAAATACAACTGGAATATGTTGATAGACTGACTAATGGTAAATACAGCATAAAACAAGAAATGTTTTGTGTCTGATAGTTTGAAGTCACAATACATCAGTGCAATTTAACCCGTTATAAGGCTAAAAGGGAGTGTTATATCAGGATGCATATTTCTTTAAATCACATCTTTTTACAATATCAAAAACCCCAAAACAGAACTCTAACATCCCATTAATGTCAATGATCAACATGTACCACAAAGCATCAGCCCAAGTCTTTACATTAGGTATAACACAGGTCTCACAATCTAAAGTAGCGCAAATTTTGGCAAATATTCACAATTTGCTAACAATATTTACAGTTACAATAAAACCTAATTCCAGAAAGTTTGAAGGCTTGAGTGGGATAAATAAATAATTTTAAAAAAGGGGAAGGCTTTTTAGTAAGAGCAATTGTGCTCCTGGTGAAAAGTACTAAAATGCACACAGGGCAGGCACATCAATACTCCCTGAGGCTGACCACTTAAGCAAGCTCAGTCAGCTTCTGTCATAATACTGGTGGTGTCTGATTCATCAAAGGTCCTCTTGTAGCGGACGGTAGAAGAGAAGTGGGCTCTTTTCTTCTTATATACAACAAAGCCGATGGTTAAGAGGACAGCGATGAGGACCACGATGAAGAAACCAAGTGCAACAGGGGCGCCTGCAGACTCTGAGAAGCAAAGGTGAAGTTAGTCATCAGGTTTCGTGTTCCAAGTAAACAAGATAGAAACAAAAAGAAACAAATCTACCAACCAGCACCTCTAAAGCTCACTAATTAACACTTTATATCTTGTTTGTTTAATCCGTACAAAAACTGAAGTGTAATAATGACAGCTAGCTGTTTTATAGGCGGTTATGTGCCAGGTTGTTTCTTGGCCGGAACCAGCAACTTCCTAGAGTCTCCACTGTTTGCCTGGCAGCTTTTTACCTACGGACAGTGCCAACAGGCTAGTTGTTTCCACCTGTTTCCATACTTTGTGTTAAGCTAACCTTCTAATGCCTCCAGATACACATTTACCGTACATATAGGAGCGGTATCTATCTTCTCTTAACGCGAATAAGCATATTTCCCAAAATGTCGAATTTTCCTTTAATGAAGTTGTGACACTCACTCGCTTCAGTTTTGCAGACAACACGACTGTGGCTGTCCTTGCAGTTGACAAGCTTCCAGATTCCTTTATCTCCTGCCATCATGACGGCACACTGGGGATCCGACTTCTTCCCAGTACCTAAGACCTCAGGCTTCCAGTTTGAGTAAGCCAGAGTCGAGCCATCCTGCCAGGATACAGGCTTACCTGTAGAAGAGGAAGAACAAGGACATAACGAGAGGGGAAAGGAAGGAGGACTATCATCACTCTCACAACACAAATAATGTGTTTTTTAATGATGTTGAGGGTTAATATCGGACTCAAATGAATAACATAAAGAATTAATAAAATAAGAATAAAATAATTATCACAGAGATTTGTTTATTATGTTTATTATTAAATTTGTTGCCACTTAGGGCAGCAGAACAAGCAATAAACACAGACCTGACATATTATTAAAGGTGATATGTTGATTGCCAATTAACACATCCAGCAACATTAGTTTGAAGTCATGTTTCTGTCCGCTTTAAAATGTTACGTCCAATATTCTAGCTCCGTTTTAGGTCTCTACCAGCTGCTGAGGCTATCTGGCTCCTTAGATGCTAAAGGTTTGACTGCGTTCACCAGCTTGGCACTAACTTTGCTGTCTGCGTTTTTGTGTTGCGTAGGCAGTGTTTAGTAAGAGCTGCCTGTTGTGGCTGAATGCTGATGCTGAGGGTTCAGTAAGAATGAACCCAAACAGTAAAATTATGGGCTATAAACCCCCTCCCCATCAGTCCCAAATTAATTAATTGAAGTGATTTAATACTAATACTAACTCAGAACAATTAGCTAAATCTAATTGAATAATGTTTTCTGTTGCTGTAACATATATTCATAAAAGAAATAGTTAAAAACTGCAGATTGGACCTGTAATGTTATCTAAATCCTCCTCGGTTTACTGTCTTGTATATGCTTAAAAATATGGGGTTTACCTTGAGCATCCAGGACCACGTCAAGCCATACACGACTGGTGATGAGAGGGGAATCATACATGTACTTAGACACAAAGTTGTTCTCCTCTGAGGTTTTTATGGTCAGCAGCTGAGCATCTGTCAGCAGAAGAAAAAAAAAAACAATTGGTGGACTACAGTTGCTTCAGATGAATACTAATGATAACCCTTCATACACCGAAAAACAACTCACTCATGTTCAGACAGACGCCCTTGGCCTGCTCCATACTGTACACACTGTAGTTGGAAAAGCTCATGTCAGCGTAACAGTGATTCTCATCCTGCACCCACTTGGCCATACCGTTGCTCTGAGGGCAGTGATTGGTCTCTGGGGCAACCGGCTGTATGGCTCCTGATTCATAACAACACAGACACATAAGGTGGACAGTCAGTGCCATCCAGCACAAATGAAGTCACAGGCGTATGCATCATTTTACACAATGGCACAACTTTGCCATAATGTACGAAAAGATTAAGTGGTGCTCATTTTCTTTTTCAGTCATTTCCCTTTTTCAACATGATAAAAGAGGAACAATGTCGTTCTAGAAATAAAAAAAAAACACATCAGACTCTTACTCTGAGAACTGGTGGTGATAGTGGTGGTGTAGCAGATGGCACCCTCTGCCACCATATTGCAGCCAGTCCTCACCCAGTCTCCAGCAGGATTTACAACAACACAGCTGGCCCCTTGTTTATCTGAGCGGGAGCTCTGTAAGTCAGAGATGGTGGCTTTGTAGTTAAATTCCGTTCCATCAGACCACTCATAGACTGAGCCACTAACCTGCATGGAGAGAGAGAGAGAGAAGACGTGTGAGGAGAGAGGAGGGAGAGTGGCGAAGAGAAGAGAGAGAGAATGAGAGAGAGGAATAGAGTCATGGTAAAACCCCATCTGATTTGCAGAAGTGAAATTATGAGCAAAGAATTCTGAGGCGTCGTCATGTGAGAGAAATGCAAATTTAGCACATATTTTGGTGAAGCGATATTCTTACATCCTGGTCTGACAGCCCAATCCAGAGCGGGAAGCCATCCATCTTGGCAATGAGCTTCACGTGGGCACTGTGCTGGATGTCGTGGACACTTGCCAGGTGGCCTCCACGCTGAGTGCACTCTTTCAGAGCCTGGTACCAATTCAACTTTTGGGTTACTACCTCATAAGATAAGTTGCCGTAATGTTGAAAATCCTTGGATGACAGGTTGTACTCCTGTTTTTGTTCTTGGGAAGGAAGGATTAAAAAATATGTAAGAGGATGAAGTATTTTCAGTGACGATAACACTAGAGGTGGACAGAGAAATATACATTTTGATGTAAAGTGTGAGACACCAACCATTGTCCAGTTTGCACGTCACAATAGTCTTTTGTTTGAACTCTGCAAACAAGTTTCGATTTGAGGTGAGAATCCAGTTCCCGTCAGTGGTGAGACCAGCCATGAAAGGTTCGCCTACATCGGGTCTGCCTTTTGCCCAGTTGGAATATTGGACATTTGTGCCATCATACCACTTCATCTTGTCATCTACAGCAGACAAAAATGACTATTAAAACTGGCATAATGACATAAATACTAGTACTCACTAGTACATCTTTTTTCGCTTAAAACACTGTGTAAGTAACCCAAGGCTGTTACTACACTAATCAGGCAACCATATATAGTCTATGTTAACATTGGCCCCAGAAAAGCCCACCAATCAAAGAGCTTGAGCGCCACATCCCACCATACAGATTAAGTTCAATGAGCTCTTTGATAGTACCAGTGATATCTAGAAGGCATGTAAGAACTTGTATCCGATCCATATTGGCAAATACCCTTGAGTTTAGGTATCACAATCTGTATTAGCAGACAAATGCGTTTTACTGCAAAATAGACATTTGTGGTTAAGTAATAAATACAAACCGTTGTTATCTTTGAACAGCCCCAGCCACACAAACTGGACCAAGTTTTGAAATGGTATGAGCTGCTGCTTGATAAACTCATTCTCCTCTGCATTTCGGATGGTTAGGATGTCTGCATCTGCATCTAAAATATACATGCATCATTATTAGCAACTTTAGCAACATCAGTCTGTTATAGAAAGTCTCATAAGAAAACCAAAACACAACATGTGCCCAATGTTGTTAAATTCTTACGTAGTTTTCTGCAGGTTTGGTGAATCTGTCCTTGGTCAAACTGCTCCCATCTGGAGGCGACCAGCTGGAAGGAGTAGCAGTTCTTCTTGAAGGGGATCCAGTTTGGACCATTAATCTTATGGGGGCACTTTACTGCAACGTCCTCTGGTGTGATGATGATCTCCTCTGTAATACATACGTTTGTATTTTTATGTAGATGGTTTAAAAAAATATTGGTATTTGCAAGAGTGATGCAGAGATGGAAGAGATTTTAGAGGAGATCAAATCTGTAAAGATTTTGAACCACAAGACTAAATAAAAAGATGTTATATAGATATTGTGATAATTCAATTACAGCCGATAAATTATTGGTCCATAATAATAGTTATTTATTGTGAGTTACTTATATGTAATGTTTGATAGACTTCATGTTCTATGAAAGCCACTGTATGTTCGTGAATTTTTTGGATGAATTTTTCTAGACGTTTTCTCCACCATCTTGCTGTACAAATGCACCGACCAGAAAAAGAAGATCCGTTATAAAATGTACAACTGTTCCTGAGAGAATTTACTCAGGAGTCATATTCCTCAAGTTTTCCTATCTTGAAAATTTTTTTCGTACACCTGTAATTCCTCCCCCTAGCAGGGATTAGCTGTATGAAGAGGTACAACAGGCATTTCTGTTTATCTTTTCCATATCCACACTTACTGTGTGGTTTGTGACAGATAGCGCCTCCTAGCTCTTCTTCACACTCGGTGGCTTTCCAGAAGCCATCGGTGTCCAGGTAGACACACGACCCACTGGTGAGATCAGAAGACCAACGACTGAATACGGTGTGACTGTGGTCGGTCCAGCGGTAGTGGGTCCCACCCTGAACACAAGACAAAACACAAAAGAAACATTTAAAAAAAAGAATTTTGTAAAAAAATAGTGGATTCAAATAAAGACTGCCATTCTCTGGTACACTTACGTCTTCGCTAAAGAGGCCGATCCACATGGGCGTGCGTGCACGGCTCACATGCACAGTGAGGGTGGACTGCAGGAGGGTATCGGCCACACTTGCCAGGTACATGCCGTTTTTTTGGCACTGCTCTAAGGCCCCAAACCAGGTGAGGTTTTTGACAAGCAGCAGGATGGTGTGGTTGTTGACTACGAAGGGCTCTGTGGGGACGTGGGGCTCCTCGACTTTATCTGAAATAAGTAAGCCCACAATGCAACATAAGGTCATGTAAGTTGTGCCAGAGATTTTTTTAAGTATTTATTTTCAAGTATTTATACTTCATGCCTTTTGTTAGAGAAATGACAGCAGAGAGATGGGAACGTCATGCTATTAAGGTCCCCGCTAGATTTGAACCATGATTGGTCAACACCTTAACCCCTAGCCATGCATCTTTTACTGCCCTTTCAAATGTATTATCCACAGTTAACATGCATCAAAGTCTATACTTAATAACATTATTCAGAATAAATAAAGAACTTTAGCATGCCAGATTAAGTAACTTGATTAAGTGACTTCTTGCTGGATAATAAAGCATGATTAGATGTTGGAAGCAGTGATTTACCTGCATAGTGCTGGCAAACCGACAGATGTTGAAACTGTGTGCAGGAAGAATAGTCCCAGGAACCCAGCATGTCAGAGTTGGGGTTATTGATCATAAACACACACAAATCCATACTGTCTGGATCCAATGTCTATCGAAAAAACAAACAAAGAAAAATTACATTAAAATGAGGTTAAGTCTATTTTCCTGTTAAATGTGTTCCCTTATAGTGAGCTACCACAGGCCAATGCTAACAATAAAGAACACATTGTTTCTATCTACAGTCTGTGGCTGTAATGCAGACTGTATAAAGATGTATAAAGACGTATAAAGCACACAGTGGTCAGACAGCGGAGC